GGACTTTTTTTTTTTTTTTTCAAGTTAATTTCTAAAGCAAGCAATTCTTGATTTGGAGGCTACTTTTTGAAGTTGTGATTTTAAAACATGGATTATTGTTAAGCATATTATGTTTTGCTATAGAAACAGCATTATAATAGGAGGCTACTTTTTTTTTTTTGCACAAAGGTAAATCCAAGTAAATCTTTGCTAGGACCAGCAGCACATTTCAAAGCAGTAACATTGCCTGGACCCCTCTATAAAGTAGTGATATTACACTCAAAATCCTGTAACTTCTATATAAATGTACTGTTTCATTTATTATGCAGAAGACATCATTGTATGAAAAATATGGAACCCTGCCCACCTTGTTGAACCCTGTGGTGCCCTGGGTAAGCACGTCGCTGCTAACCAAAAGGTTGTTGTTTCAAACCCACCAGCCGCTCCTTGGGAGAAAGATGTGGCAGTCTGCTTCTGTAAAGATTACAGCCCTGGAAACCCTATAGGGCAGTTCTACTGTGTCCGATAGGGTCTCTAGGAGTTGGAATCAACTCAGCAGCAATGGGTACGGGCCCACCTTGTTATTCCAAAATTTGACCTCAAATGAAATATATAATTAACAGTACTTTTTGCTCGAATAAGTTATTATCTATGTGTTTGAACTGCCTGCTGTTCCCTACACATATTATTCATCTGCAGACTCCTTCCCATCCCACCATCCTCCAGACAGAGGGGGTAGAGCAGTGACATTTATTTTACCATCTTTCAGTAATTACTGTTTTAAAGAGTATAAGATACCAAAAAAAAAAACAAAACTATAGGCCTTAAGGCGTACAAGATACCATTAGCCTCCCCTATTGCTAAGGAGAATATAAAAATGTAGTAATAGGCCAGTATTTTTGATGCATCTTTCAAAGTCATTCCATGTGGAAAGTTCATGATTGATACTCACGAGTATAAACTAAAGTTGAGCTATATTAGAAGTATGATTTTTCTTTTTCTTTGAATGAAACTCCAGAATTTTTGAAGGAAACCCTAGAGTTTTAAGTTTGGGTATATTATGTACTTCTAAATAAGGTCTAAGCGCTCACTATCCCAATCTACAGTTGGTAAATCAGTGTGAAACCTTATAGACACCTTGACATTTACCAGTGTTCGCTAGAACAGGCTGGGTGGCGATGATAGCATTCTGAGCATCATTTGAGGGGACTGTATAATGGAAACTCCTGGATACACTTGTTTGAAGATGCTCCCAAACGTTTTAGTTTTATTGTTCAGTCTTTAAGGATAAACATGGGTATGAGCATAGAGAAAAATCCCATGCTTGAAACATGGGTAGAAAACTGGAGAGAGAGGAAATGAGTCACACCTGAAAGCAAGCTCCTGCCCACTTCCTCTTTGGAGACTTTGATTGATGAGATTTGACACGTGGGAGAGGTGCCGACTTAGAGATACACAGTTCTTGAGGTATCCAGAGAGGTAGCCAGTGTGAAATTGCTTTGGGACCTTCACATGAATGTGATTGTTTCTAGACTCAGTTTAGCTATTTTATAAAAGGGAAGGGGACCCACATTGAAAAACCAATGTCATTTAATGCCTGTATAAATGGATGGGGAAATATACTTGCATGTTGGACTTACGTAAGTTGCAGCTGTTACTAAGCTGTTTTTTAATTTCCTGCACATTAATTTGTTTCTTAATTTTTTCAAATTATTTTTAAATATTTATGAAACCTCATTCCCCCCCCGCCCCCAAAATGAGCAATATCAACAACTTAAACTGAGATCACAAAGAAAAGTACAATTTTAGTCTTCAGTTTTAGTAATACATGACATGTTTTGGAGACTGTGAACGTATGTTTGCAGTAGATGCTGAGGTATTTGTATTGGGAAATAAATCGATGTCTGCATTGATAATTGTGCTGTTCCAGTTTTATTTTTTTTACCCAGCAGAAAAGGTTGGAGAGTCAAGTTTTTGTTCTTAGGCCATCTCCAGAAGAATACTCTCTTCTTACCACTTTGTTTCTTTTGGAAGGGGAGGCTCAGCATAGTGCAATACAGGGGTGGGCCACTGTGGTGGGGAAGGGGAGTGCTTCTGGATCTTGCTGAATCTCTTCACTGTTTCTGTGACCTGTTAATTGACTGTTTCTTTGAGTGGATATGGGCCTTGGGTATGTGTCATACACATTTTATTTTTCTTGTGAATTTAGAATGAAAAGTATTAGATTCTGAAGCTTTAGAGCTTAAGCAATTATATGGTGTATCATTATTTCAGTCGAATTGTTTTTATCCTGTATAGCTCTAACCTTGTAGAACCACAGTTCAGACACTACATGTATGTATTGTGGTCCTGTCATTTGAATTGATTGGATACATGTCTTGATCTAAAGTTTTATGCCAATCAAAAGTACAGCCTCAGTGTTAAAACCAGTCATTTGCAACAATGAATAACAGTAAGTGTTGACATGTGGAAGTTTACTGCTAATTAAGACCTGACTGTATTTTGTGTAATCTGTCCCTTTTTTGCACCAGAATGCAGTAAGTATGAACTGTTTGCAGTGCTGGCCTCTTGCATGCTCCTGTGTTAACAGCTTTTCCAGCTGTGTGAGTTTTGCAGTAAATGGCTGTTGATTAACTGTGTGCATATGAAATACAGAATTCATACAGGAATTTTTCAAAGTTGAGGGCAAATTTAATTGAGCTCTGACTTCATGACTCAGTTCTGTTGTAATTGTGAAGCTTTGCCTCTGGTTTCCAATCTGCTTGTGTGTATTTCATAGTCCTGTTTTTGAAGGGTGCTGCCACAAGCTGTTCATAGCCGTGTAACACGTTGAAGGACAGTAGTCGCTCTCCTCCTCCTTCTACTCATTAGTCATCACTTGAAGATTTAGCATAATTTCATTTAAATAGCTCCATGGGCACAGACTTGATAAATAACAGAAAAGATGTACTCGGAATCTCAAGCACACCAAAGATCTGTTCATATAAATCACTAAAATTTTAATTATATTTATATGTCTTTTATTTGTGGTAGTCACTATGAGTCCGAACTGACTCAATGGCATCTAACAACAACAACATTTGTGGTAGCAGTGTTATGTAAGGGCATATTTTACTAAGCCAAGAAAACCGAATTTTATCTTACATGAATGGTCTTATGCTGATGGTAATAATAATAAGGCATCTATACCGGGCTAACTGTAGTTGCTCATCAAAATTGTTAGGCCCTGAGAATTGGAGCATATGGTTTTTAAAAATCTGTGTGAAAATGAGCACTGGGGAATGCACTTTATGTCGAAGAGTGTATTTGTTGAAAAGTTTGCCCTTTAGTAAGAACATTCAGTATTTAAAAAAAAAAAACAAAAGAACTTTTTTCCTGGACTAAATTTAGCATTAACAAGATCAGTCAGTGATAATGTGTATGTGTCATTTATGATTTAGAGTTAAAAATACCTTCTAATCAGTTCATCACTGGTGGTGAGAAAGCCTTAGTTGACTTCCAAGAAAGAATATGATCAAATGCTGCATCATAAGTGCCATTTTAAAATTTGTCCTAGTTAGGACCAAAGTTGATTTTTTTTGTCAACTTTTAAAAATCTCTATTTTTCCTTTCATTATTTATGGAGGCAAGGAGCCCTGGTGGTGCAACGGTTAAGCACTCAACTACTAACCAAAAAGTTGGTGGTTTGAAGCCACCCAGCCACTCCATGGGAGAAAGACCTGGTGATCTGCTCCTATAAAGACTATAGCCAAGAAAACCTTATGGGGCACTTGTACCCTGTCACATGGGGTCGCTATGAGTCGACAATTGGCTCGACGACACTTAACAACAACATCATTAATGGAGACATTTGAAGGGTAGTTGCTCTGAGCATATTCGCAGGAAGCAGAGGGCTTCAGTTCCGTCATTACCCGTGACATCTCAGCTCACTAGACCTGGACCGGTCACCTTGGTGGGAGAAGTCAAGTTTCCCCCGCTCCCACTGCAAAAAAGGAAAGTAGAGGTAAAACTAGCTTAAGTTTTACTGCCATATGTTCCTGAGAAATGTGGTTTTTGGTGAAGTGTATTCATTCAACAGATGTGCATTTTGTGCCCTCAATATATACAGCAATACATGAAGCTCTGCGGAATGTTCAGAAATAATTTAGGCATGAATCTTCCATCAAAGAGTTCGCAGGAGATAACCTAATATGAAGTAGAAACTGCTGAGTTGTATAAGAGTGATGAAGTATTGTACTGAGAAGAGAGAGAATGCTTCTAGTTAGGGCGATGATTTTGATGTGCTAATTCCTTTGATTCTCCATTTTGTAGGAACTTCATTCATTCATTCTCTCATCAAATACATATTAGTACTTGCTCGGTGCTAGGTGCTGTGCAAAGCATGGAAATACAATGGTGAACAGGGACATGGTCAGTCATTGTCTTTAAGGAGTATACAGTCTAGTGAGACAAATGAATATGAAACAAATCAATATACATGCACACATATATACACACTTACATACATGTAACATTTTTGAAAAGTACATGGGGTCTCCATGAGTTGGAATCAACTTGATGGCAACAGACAACTGGTATGTAAGAGTCATAATGGAGGATCTGACCCTGGATGTGGGGAGTAAGCAGTCAGCTCCATAGAAAGCTTTTTTGAGCTCTAAAGTTTCACCTGAGACCAGAGAAACTGGGTGACAGATTGTGAATCTCCCTGTTTAATTTCTGATCCTTCAAGGTAAAATGTACTATTTTTTAAAACCATGTGTGGGGTGCATCTCTGTCAAGTAAAAATCTTCATCCTTCAAATACTGCGTACTTTGTGTATACTTCATTCATTCCCTTCTTCATGGATCATTTCTCAAGTGCCTGCGATGTGTAAGCCCCTGTCCGGGAGCTGTGTGCTGAGCCACTGTTAAATCTGAAATACTGTGTGTGCTGTTTCTCATGGATGGAGATGCCAGAGGGTCATTGTTTGGAGCCAGCTAATGGCACGGTTTATAAAGCTACTTTAATTTTTCTCCATACAGGACAACAGCTTTGAGCAGTTCATTATTAATTATTGTAATGAGAAGCTGCAACAAATCTTCATCGAACTGACTCTTAAAGAAGAGCAGGAGGAATATATACGGGAGGTAATGATCAAGTACTTTTAAAAGATCTTTTTCTTTTGTACTCATGAATTCTGGATTCCAAAAACTATATAAACACCACCTTGAAATCATATATATTGAAGTTTAGCCATATTGTGTCTTTTAAAAATATATTTGGTATGACATTTAAGCTAACTGGAGATTTTCTTTGCTACTGCGCCCCGAGTGCCAGAACAATGCCTAGCACATAGTAGGTGCATAATTAATATCAGTTGACTGACTCTGGTCTGATTGGATTCCAGTGTAATGATGTAAAATAATAGTGGGTTAAGAAAATAGCCTAGACAAACAACCATGGCACATTCGTAACAATGGAATACCATTGAGCAATTAAAAGGAACTAACAGTTGATACCCGCAACAGTGTGGGTGAATCTCAGATGCATTATGCTAAGTGAAAGAAGCCAGACTCAAAAGGCTACATATTGTAGGATTCCATTTATATGTTATTCTGGGAAAGGCAAAGCTGTAGAGCCGGAACAGTCAGTGGCTGCAGGAAATAGACGTGGTGGGAGGGTTTGGCTGCAGGAGGGAATTCTAGGGAATGATTATAGTGGCAGTTACACAACACTATGCGTTTGCCAAAACTTAGAGAATTATATCCCCCCCAAAAAAATCAATATTAATGTATGTAAATTAGAATATAATTTGAGGCATTGCTCAATCTTGAAAAGCATTGACTTTCTAAAATGATAGCAATAGCTAACATTTGTTGAGTGCTTACTATATGCTGGGCATTGTACTAAGGTCTAGATGTTGATTATTTCTTTAATGTAATTAAAAAATATCCAGAAGTAATGTTCCTTTAATTGTAAAATACTTATTTGGTTTTACCCCTCCATCTTTTAGTCTTTTTTTCTCAGTGTGAAATAAATTATTTCAAAAAAAAAAAAGGGAGGAATTATTTTATTGTGTCTATATTTTTGTCTCCTTTTAATTTATTTGCTTTAATATTTTAGTAATGACATTACTTATTTTTCTTTATTTTCTATGGTGTCATTTTAATCCTTTAAGCATGCTGAATCTTGCGTGTGTGTTTGTGTGTGTGTGTGTATGTGTCTCAATATAGTTTTTTTAATGTGGTGGTTATCCCCAGCAACTTAGTAAAACAGCCCATTTACTCTAAATCATAAATATTTTATATTTCTTCTAGAATGATCCTTCTGCTTTAGAAACATTTTATACTTGTCTGGCACCTTTTAGTAACATAAACATCCTGAAAGCAATCTTCATTCTCTTCCTGTCTTCTCATCATAAGGAGAATGCTCAAACTTTGATCTGTGACTTAAAAGTTTGTACAGATTGTCTAAAACACTTGTAAGAGTATATAGGAAGATTCCTAGCTTGCTGTATGAATTAAATTTCTTCCCTCAGAAGAAAAATAAATGTTTACGCTTATGGACAACGTGTAAGCGGGCATGGAAGGATTACATAGGCCTTACAAACTTGGCTTCTTAGCTAGTGTTAGAACCAGTTTTCTTTCTTTATGTTGAAAACGCTTTGTCTTAGCACTGAGCTTTTCTTGTGCTTGAAATAGCTAACTGCCCTTCAACTGTAAATTTAAGAATATCTGAACAATCTCGACTTGCATTTATTCATAGGATTGACTTCTAAAATTAAATTTTTCCTTGCGATTGCAAAGTAAAAACAGAAAAATCTAGGCCTTAGATTCTTGGGATCAAGTTCTGACTTATTTCCTTATAAACATTGTAAATATACACAAAGTAATACTGACCCAAAGGCCTGTTGAGTAGATACTTGGCCCAGTGCCGGTGAAGTGCATGGGAAATGGCCATAGATGGGAGAGTGGAATGGGAGGCGGTCTCAGAACAGCTCAAGGTCATTTGTTTCAATCAGTTCAGGTCAGTGGTAGACTGCTGCTTTAGGAAAGTTTGAGGAGCACGAAGATGACATTTGCTGCACTGATTCTATAAAGGAAATATCCAGAGAGGAAGTAAAATACAGTGAGACAGGCAGAGTGCTTTATGGATGGTAGTATTGTCACATCATGATATGGAGTTTGATTTTGTTTTTATCTTGCTTTTTAGGGCATAGAATGGACTCACATTGACTACTTCAATAATGCTATCATTTGTGACCTAATAGAAAATGTGAGTACTTAGGTATAATTTCCTAAAAAAAATTTTGGTACCCTAAATATATATGAATGATCTCACTGCCTTTATTGTTAAGCATTAATGTTTTCACCACCTTAAGACTTTTCTTTAAAGTTCTGGAGACTTTATTGTAGTCCCGAGAAATCATACGCCATTCTTGAACACATACATAAACACCTGGACATTTTGGTACCTCTCCAGGATCGTCTGTGCTCATATCTTGAGCTAAGGCCCCAGGCCTTAGATACAGTAGCCTCTCTTGTGTGGTTGAAGCCCAGGTCCAGTCCGTGGTTCCTGGCAGTGTGAGCACTGAGCAGAGTAAGTTCAGAGCAGCCACTCCAGTGTTTCGCCAGATCACACTATCTATTTCATTTCTAAAACTGTACTGTTCACATTAAGATCAAAGAGGAAAAAGGGACTGTCTGGGGGCGAATTTAGTGGGACCCCAGAAATAGCTCAGGTGTAGACCTAGCTTTGGCTTGTGGAATGTGTGCAGAGGATATTGCGTGTGTGACCCTGCAGTGGCCAAGGCCATGGAATTTTTCAGGTAACCCAAGTATGTGAAAAAGCTTAAAAATGTGATGAATTATTGGATACTTTTTACCATGCCTTCTAAATCAAAGATTTTTGCTTTTATATTGTATTTTGTATTTATTGTAAATAAATTAACTGTAGGGAGATGGATTTGTGTATGAAAACCGGGAAACTCTTTTGTCTTATGGTTAGGATTGCTTGCAGCCCTGGCCTTGGTGACAGAGTACTTTGAAACAATGCATAAGCTTTATTGTCTCAGTCCTTTTAGCTGTTAACTTGACAGCTCAGGAAGGTGAGTCCTGTGTTTCTGGACTAAAATCACAGGCTCTAAAACTACAGCAAGTCACTTCCTATTCATCTTTCACAAACCCTTTTGGAAATTATGTAATTAGCCAGTATGTTTTCTCTATATTCAGATATTCCTGAGAATGGAATCTTAGATAAAATGGAACAGTAATAATATTCTAAAACATCAGTATTTTTGAAGAAAAATACATATTGTTTTGAAAAATCTGAGCAGTTTTAGAATATGAACACTGATATTCAAAACTCTTCTAAAATCAGTAAATCCACTGTAAATTTTCCTGGTAAATTTTGTGACCAAGGTAATTTGCTGTGGGAACTTTAACTTTCAGAATTCCTGACTAGCATGTTTTTCTTCTGTAAGTATAGCATTGCACTTAATTATTTCCTTTCAAGAAGAGGTTAAAAAAAAAAGAAAAGAAAAAGGAAAAGCGGTAATGCACTTAATTTAGCTAGATTACCTCAGCCAAAAAATCCCCTTGCATATATGATTGAAAAAACTTACGTTCACGCAGGAGCCTTAGTACATAAAGGAAATATTTCCTTCCAGCATCACTTAACAATAATGTTTATTCTGGGGCTGTTTTGAACACACTTGATTCCTGAGAATCCACACTTCCCCTGCGTTTTGTCTGGAGTGAATAAATGCTGGATAGATGATGTCGTGGCTCTGTGAGGAGAGGGAAAGGAACGGGGAACTGTGCTCAGTGGAAGTGGGTGAGGTTGACTGTCAGTGGTAGTGGATTGTTCCCTTTGGAGTCGAGACATATGGGCCATTTGTTTGATATGGCCTGTAGGGGCAATCCAAGATATTGCAACCTTCGTTTAGCAAAGTAGAAGATTCCTGATTTCTGATTCTGTTTAGGATAAATAAGATCACAGGCTCTGCATATACAACAAATAAATTGTCACTCATGTTTACCATCAATTTAGCAATTTTATATGGAACCAGAATTTTATTCTAAATAGATATTCTTGAAACAGCTTGATTGTATTAATCATTAAAAGCAGCATCCCAAATCATAGCATTTTTTTTCCTAGAAAATAAACATTATTTTGAACACATGAACAATTTGGAAACATCTGAAGCCAATTTCCTTCCCAAGCTAGGAATCAAATAATGGCCTTAGAAGACTGCTTTGTGATTTATGACAATGTGTTACGGAGACTGAATTGTCACATTAGCTTCTGACATTTAGATTTGGTGTAGTCTCGCCTTTGACGTCTCAGGTGCTTTTTTTTTTTCTTTAAACAATATGAATTGCAGTCATCAGCCCACTAAGGTGGCTAAGGTGACTCCTCAGTCCTGTTCTGTTGGAGAACTGGAGTCAGGATCGGGGTTGGGAGGGACTGTTAATTACAGGCACACTCCCACCCCCACACACACCTGGGACACACTGGAAGAGGGCTGACTTCTGTGGCTTTTTGTTATTTGTTTTGCCCCTCTACCTTTTGTTTTAACTGAGCGGAATTTTCTTCTGACTAAGTTGATTGTGTTTGATGGTGTAATTAGGAATAATTATTAAAACAATACAGTGAGGAAGGAAGGAGACTTTATTTCCTTTCTCCCAGAACACAAATGGAATCCTGGCCATGCTGGATGAAGAGTGCCTAAGGCCCGGCACGGTCACCGACGAGACCTTCCTAGAAAAATTGAACCAGGTCTGCGCCACCCACCAGCACTTTGAGAGCAGGATGAGCAAGTGCTCTCGGTTCCTCAACGACACCTCTCTGCCTCACAGCTGTTTCAGAATTCAGCATTACGCTGGCAAGGTATGGAAAACCTGGAGCATCGAGTCAGGCCTGCAGTGTCGTCCCCAAGGAGACTGTGTCTCAGTTGTTGTCAAGCCAGTGAGATGCACGGCAACGCTATGGGTGCAGTGTAGAACTGCACTCCGTAGGGTTTTCAATGACTGTGACATTTTGGAAGTAGATCACCAGGCCTTTCTTCTGAGGCACCTCTGGGTTGGTTCAGACTGCCAACCTTTCATTTAGTAACCAAGCAAAATGTTGTTGCAGGGACCCTGTGTCTCAGAGATAGGCATTCTAAAAAATACTGACTTGTGAGGATAAGTTAAGCTGACACATAGTGAATCATTAAATGTTCCGTAGAAATAGAGTCTGGACCATGTTGAGTAAAATCATATTAATTCTGATGGCAAAACCAGTGGATTTAATGAGCAGTCTGAATAGATTTAAAAATTAGATTTCATTATTGTCAAGCACTGAGTGATATGGCTGCTAACCAAAAGGTTAGCGGTTCAAATCTACCAGGCACTCCTTGGAAACCATATGGGACAGTTCTACCCTGCCCTCTAGGGTTGCTATGGGTCAGAATCGACCCGATGGCAACAGGTTAACCCATGAAAAAGATCTATCAACACTAATAAAAGAGATATGTCGGTAAAAATTAGAACATACTAAAGACTTACAGTAAGGTTTCAAAAGTACAAGTCATTTAACAAAAATAGTGATTCTTAGATTGAGATTTTGAAATGACAGTTTTATTAAAGGGTAAGTATATAGTATCTGAATTACCTTTAATTTCAAAATGTTGGAACTCGGTATTTTTTTATTTTTCACTGGACTCTATTATTAAAAGATACTCTTATCAGTTCCTCTGCTGGTAAAGGATGTCTATGAAAATATCAATGTTATGTCTACTTTATTTTTCCCTGTCTGCTTTTAAACAGACTATAATTGGCATGTGTAAACTAGAAAATAAAACCTCAAAAATATCCTCAAGCACCAAAAAAAATCCTAAAATCCTTTGAAAATGTTATGATAACATTTTTGGAGTTTATTCTTGCAAATCCTGAAGGTAATAGAATTTGTTTTGAACTCTTCTGTAATTTAGACAGATGAAATTTAAACTTAGAGGCTAATTTGGTATTAGAGTGTGACTAACGTATTGGGGGTTTTTTGATGGAGAAAGAAGAGGCTGAGGTATAGTCTCGGAGTATTTTTCTTAATAGTTGCTTGGCATTATAGTGTGCCATATGCTAGCTGTTGACTTCCATGGGCCGTTCACAGGTGCTGTATCAGGTGGAAGGATTTGTTGACAAAAACAATGACCTTCTCTATCGAGACCTGTCCCAAGCCATGTGGAAGGCCGGCCACGCCCTCATCAAGTCTTTGTTCCCTGAAGGGAACCCCGCCAAGATCAACCTGAAAAGGCCTCCTACGGCAGGGTCACAGTTCAAAGCTTCCGTGGCCACGCTGATGAAAAACCTGCAGACCAAGAACCCAAACTACATTAGGTATTTCTGGCACATAAATTCTTGTAACAGTTCAAATGTGATTTTCCTGTTTGCTTAAACCTGACTGTAGCCCAAGCCAAGAATAACTGAAGTACTTACAGGTCAAATAATACATTATTCTAGGTTTGCATAAAAATACCTCAGTGCCCCCAACCCCTAAAATAAGAAATAAAAAAGGGGGAAAATTAATGAAGCTGGGTAGTTGGCACATAGGAATCTCAACTTTGTGTATGTTTTATTTTATTTTATTTTTTTACTTATAAGTTAAAAAACCTAATCAGAGTTTCGCAGGAAACTCTTTTATGGGAATCATATTGGGTTCTTGTATTAACTCAGAGTGCAACATTGAAGCAAGAGGGGCTTTAGTCACAGCTTTGAAGTTGGGAAGTATGTACCTCTTTCTTTCCTGTGAGAGTTGTCGATCCTGAGAAAATAATGATTCCTAAAACAATCTGAATTTTTCCAAAGCGATAGAACTCCTAAAGAAGCATCTCAGCTGGTTTTTTCTGCCTCTAGGGCATGTTAGATAGAACTATCTCAAGACTCAGTAAAGACCAACTACGATTAGAGTTTGTTGCGATGTGTGTATTTGGTAAAAGGAGCCCTGGTAGGTCAGTGGTTAAGCGCTCGGTTGCTAACCAGCCAGAAAGGTCAGCGGTTTGAACCCACCAGCCGCTTCTCAGGAGAAGGATGTGGCAATCTGCTCCTGTAAAGATTACAGCCTTGGAAAACCTATGGGGTAGCTTTGCGCTGTCCCATAGGTCTCTATGAGTCAGAATTGACAGCAACGGGTTAACAGGTATTTGGAGAACTAGAGGAGAGAAGGTGTGTCTCTGATGGGTCAGTTTTCATACAGCACACACATACACACCCTCTATGGTTGTCTTGGAAAATTCAGATATGAGGAAACTAGTGCGAAGAACATTTTTGTGTTTGGTTTGTTTATCTAATATTTATATTAGGAAACAATACAAATAGGCAGAATCCTCTGGATTTATTACAGTCAGATTAGAAGATATATTGGATAAAGATCCTTGTATCCAAAATTACCAGGAAACTTTCTGTGATTGGTTGCTGTTGTTATTCTCAGTTGAGTGGATATTATTTTTATAAATGTAAAAGGAAATGCATAAAAATAACAAAGCCAAACTAGGTAAGATTTATTTGGTTACGTATTATGTGTGTTTGAAATTTATGCAATAGCTGTAGGCAGACTTAACCGTGAATATTTAACAATTGTATTAGTTACATCACAGGGATTGCTGAATAAGATCTCCAAGTAACTTTGGCTTAAACAAGGTTGAAAGTTATTTCTTATGTAACTTATAAGTGTGTAAGACTCCAGGACTATATTGCAGCTCCTTTTGTGGCTCTGTCATTCCCAGGGTGTTTTCCTCACCTGCACAGTCAAAGATGGCTCTCTACCATGTCAGCATTCCAGCCAGCTAGAAGTGGGAGGAAAGCAAAGGGAGGTCTCTTCCTTTTAAGGACACAACCCACAGGTGGCACATGCTACTTCTACTCTGATCCTACTGGCCAGAATAGGTCACATGGCCACATCGACTTGCAGTGGAGGCTGGGAAATGTAGTCCTTCCCTGGGCAGCAATGTGTCCTGTTAAAAAAGGAGAACAGATATAGGGAAACAACAATCTATTTTACCTTTTTATTTAGGTATAACATACATAGAATAGAACGCATGAATCTTAAGTGTACAACTTGTTGAATTTTTACGTATTTATGCCTGTGTAACTCCATCCAGATCAAGATATAAAACATTTCCATTATCGCAGTAGTTCTCTTGCCCCTTGCCTGTCATTCCCCACCATCACTTCTCTCTAGAGGTAACAGCAATACTGACTTCTAACCACAGATACATTTTTCTTGAACTTCATATAAATGGAGTCATACAGTATATATTCTTTTATGTCTGACTGCTTTCACATAACAAAATGTCTGTGATATTCATCCATGTTGTTGCATGTATTAGTAGTCTTTCATTTAATTTTATTGATGTGTAGTATTATATTTTAGGTTGTTTATAAATGATTTGAAACAATATCAAAAGAGATGAGTCGGTTTCTCAAGAATAACAAACGATTATTTCCCTATAAAATAATTAAATATAAGTGCTTTGTAAAACATGGACAGATATTTCCGTAAGAGACAGAATTTAAAACCTAAAATCTTTTTAATTTTTCAGGTGTATCAAACCAAATGATAAAAAAGCAGCACACATCTTCAACGAGGCTCTAGTGTGTCATCAGGTCAGGTACCTGGGTCTTCTGGAGAATGTTCGAGTGAGGAGGGCAGGCTACGCCTTCAGGCAGGCTTATGAACCTTGCCTAGAAAGATACAAAATGCTTTGTAAACAAACATGGCCTCACTGGAAAGGCCCGGCAAGGTAAGAAATTCACTGACTGTATCTAATAATGAATTTTTAAAGCATTTAAATAACATGTTGGGGGGGTTTCTTTTTTTTTTTGCATGTTGTTAGACAAAACTTAGAATTCTATGAAAAACTGGATGTAACCTTTGTTTTGGAGCTTCTGTTGTCACAGAGCATTTATTTAACTCCAAGAACATGTGATTTCTCTGGTTAATGTAGATATTCGCATAGACTACTGCTATCCCCAAAAATTGTACCATGCAGATGAGGAACAAGGTAAAATGAAAAAAAAAAAAAGTGACTATAAAAGAACAATGACTTTTGTTAGGGGGAAAAAAAAATAGGGTTTTTCTCTTCCATGTACTAGCCAAGGAAGAGATATATTTTCTAATTATGCTGTCATTGTTCAGAATATTTAGGAAGCTCTTCTCCTGGAAGTTGCTTCTAGAGTCTCGTGTGTGTTATGTCGATTGTCCTAAGAGAAGCAAATTTATATTCTTTGAGGGTAAGCCAAGTCTACTGAAAAAGTGGATATTCGAACTGGGCAAAATCATTTTTTAGTTTAGTAGGTTTTTTGTTTGTTTTTAATTTTTGTAAAGGAGCAATGGAAGTTGTAGTGTGTGCATGAGAGGGAGGCGATGGGTGGATGTGGCTTCTAAATAGAATCTGAAGGTAATTCCCAAGGGAAGTTTCTGTGAAAGAAAATGCTCCTTGGATGTTGTACCAGTTATCTTTTGCTGCATAACAAAGCATCCCAGGATTTAGTGGCTTAACATAACAATAAGTTATTATTTCTCATGATTCTGTGATATGGAAAAATGCTTTCTCTGACAGGATATACCATTTTGTACTAATTCTTGATTAATTAGAATTCTAGATTTTCTATCAGGTCATGATAAGCCTTATGAAATCCACATTTGGAACTTGTATGTCAATAGACATTAAAAAATATGCCTGTAGCAAGTGAATTGTTGTTGTTAGGTGCCATTGAGTTGATTTCAACTCATAGCAATCCCATGTGACAAAGTAAAACTGCCCCATAGGATTTTCTGTAATCTTTGTGGGAGCAGATCGCCAGGTCTTTCTTCTGCAGAGCGACTGGGTGGGTTTGAACCACCAACGTTTTGGTTAGCAGCCGAGTGCCTAACCATTGCTGTTTATGGCAAGTAAGTGGGAAGCAGTTAATAACTGGTGTTTATATTTGGGTAAGATCATGGAATATTGGTATTAAGGGCATCTTGGATCACTGCTCCTAGCTTTTTGCTTTTCACATTGGGGAATTTTTATACATGGAGAGTCGGTGGGGACCTCCACTTTGCCCAATTGAGAAATAGATACAGGAGCAGACAAGGTTCAGAGTATTATTGCTAGTAAAGCGGGATTGGGTAATATGACTTGGACCCGAGGCCAAACGGCTTTGAGCTCATCCACTATGAATTGTAGTTCTCCATCTAGTCACAGACAGAGCAGTGGACCACTGCAGGCCTGTCCTATAGAGCAGCCCCTCAAGCTCTCCACCTGCAGAGAGAACTTGTGTGCTGGTGAGCGGGCTGCTGCAGAAGAGAAATCTGGTCTTAGCAGTGCAGTGACCTTTCTGCTGCTCTCACCATTCAGAGAAACCGCCCTCCTCTGTGGGGGGTGTGTGTGTGTGTGTGTGTGTGTGTGTGTGTGTGTGTGTGTGTGTGTGTGTGTGTGTGTGTGTGTGTGTATGTATGTAGGTGTTGCCTCCATGTTCTCACTGGACGTGGCCTTTCACAGGAACATTCATCAAAAGTATTAGACACTGGTCACCTGCGTTGTAAGAGATGTAGAAACTCCAGATCTACAGTGTGGTCTCTGATACATAATTGAATACTGAAATGCATGGGATCTGATTTCACTGCTAAGTTCCTGAGTATTATAGTAAGCGTGTACTGTAGTACTCAGAACATGTATTCTCTCTGCCCAGCACCTAGTCCACAGGGTAGTGGGACAAGTTGTAGTTCTAACAACTGATGTTGAAACTCGGGTCCAAGATGGAGAGGTGTGGTCAGAGCCAAGTTCCGCCATGTAAGGCCCACATTCCTTAGCATCCTGTTGGTCTGGCACTTAGCACTCTCTTTTGGGCCCTGCCCATGCCTTGAGGGGTAAGTGCAATGTTTAAAATATTTTCAGGAATTAACTGAGTAGATCTGAGTTCCTTGTACACCCAGCTGGCCCTGCTTGTTACATCGTTACCGGTATATTTGATACCAGTATTACTTCTGCTAATGAAATCAAGAAATTAGCTTTATTGCCACATTTTCTTAGAATACATAGTTCTGAAACCAAATGTACTTTTTTAGTGTTTACTGGACTTGGTTTCGTTTGTGGAACGCAGCCTGGAAAATTCTCTGATAGAAGGACGCTTACTGAAAGAGTATTTACACTTGGAAATGAAGCTATTTTTTTAATACCACTGAGAACCTGATATCATCATTTAAGAGAAGATAAACTAGTTTTGAACCTCAGAAAACTCATTGTTTTATTTCTGTTTGTTTTTATAGATCTGGAGTGGAAGTTCTGTTTAATGAATTAGAGATTCCTATGGAAGAATACTCCTTTGGTAGATCAAAGATATTCATCCGAAACCCAAGAACAGTATGTAATCAAAACCTTTACATTCTGAGCTTAATTTATAATCATACAGTCAAGTCCTTAAAGGTGAAGATCACAGTATTACCTGAGATGCTACCAAAAATTCCACATTCTTGTGTTTATTTTCAAATGCCCACAAAGACAGGTCAAATAAGGAGTGGTGGGAAAACGTACTTTTTTTTTTCTTCTATTGTTGTAGTTTAAGTGAAAGTTTACAATTCAAGTTAGTCTGTCATACAAAAATTTGTTATATGAGCCTAATTGCTCTCCCTGTACTGTGACAGCACACTCCTCCTTTCCACCCCTGATTTCCTGTGTCCATTCAACCAGCTTCTAACCCTCTCTGCCTTCTCATCTCACCTCCAGACAGAAGCTGCCCGTTTAGTCTCATGTATCTACTTGAGCTAAGAAGCACACTCTTCCTGAGTATCTTTTTATATCCCACAGTCCAGTCCAATCTTTATCTAAAGAGTTGGCCTCGGGAATTGTTATAGTTCTGGCTTGACAGAGCCCGGGGGCCATGCTTTCCTCCAGTCTCAGCCAGACCATGAAGTCTGGTGAAAACATGTACATTTTTTAGGAAACATCAGAGTCTTTGATCTGACAGATTACACACTTCAGACATCATAAAGAAACAGATTATACAACAAAAAAACCTCTCTAATTCATAAGAACTGGAGGTAAATTTTATTTGTATTTGTAGCATCCGATTTATACAATATTTTTAGGAAATACAGCCCTATTATTTAGAAGTACATGAAGGTACTTAATATAAAGTTAAAAAGAACACTTTGAATTCTATCTTGTAAGAACTCCAAGGGAGACTGTTCATATATGAATAGATCGGCATGAAGTGTAGTTAGTATAGCCGTTGATTGGCAATTTAAAAGTTAAGAGAATTTGAAAAATGTTTAAATTGTTTATGAGATAAACCTTGCCAGCTTCTCCTTTTCATTAGTAATTTACATCCTCACAGACTTTTCTTTTTTTAATAGTATTTTATTGTGTTTCCAGTGAAGGTTTACACAGCACTTTAGGTTACCATTCAATAATTTCTTCACAGGTTCTTCAGTGACATTGGTTATATTTTCACAATGTGTGAACATTCGCATTATTTTGTTCTGGTTGTTTCGTTTCCATTCATCTAGTTTCCTTGCCCCCTTACATTCTTGTCTTTGTTTTAAAGTAATTGTTAACTGTTTGGTCTCATATAGCCTGATTTTTTAAAAGAATCACAGTACTTACAGATGATATTTATTATTTTTTGAGTCAATTTATTATTTAGCTGTAAGTGACCTCAGGGGTTAGTTTCAGTTTAAGATTTGAAGATTATCTCAGGGTGATAGTCTCAGGAGTCCTCCAGTCTCAACCAGTCCAGTTGGTCTGTTTTTGTCTTGTTTCTTGAGGAATTTGAGTTTCTGTTTCACATGTTTCTCCCATTCTTTCAGGATCCATATATGTGGCCCTGATTCATAGGCCTTTTAACTCCTGAGAGTTCCTTTCATGTCTGCCATGAGTTGGGTGGGTTTTGATAAGTCTATCTATCATTTATTATTAGTTATTCAAATTAGAAGACCTGAGGAAGCAACGGCTAGAGGACTTGGCTACGCTCATTCAGAAGATTTATCGGGGATGGAAGTGCCGCACTCACTTCCTACTAATGAAAAAAAGTCAAATTGTGATTGCTGCCTGGTACAGGAGATACGCAGTAAGAGTCTCAGTCATTTTTAATCTGTAATAATGATGCCAACCATTATTATGGACTTTCCATATATGTAATTTTTATATATTTAGTCATCCCAACAACCTCATGAGGTAGATGCTCTTATGGTCCCTTTTTAGAGATGAGAAAACTAAGACACAGAGCAGTTAAGTAATTAACTCATGGCCACATAGCTACTAAGTGGCAGGGCTGGGATTTGGATCCAGGACAACTTCAAAGCTCAAGTTTAGTTACCATACTACACTCCCTTCCACTGATATTAAAAAAACAAGTTGCCGTCGAGTCGATTCTGACCCATAGCGACCTTATAGGACAGAGTGGAACTGCCCCATGCGGTTTCCAAGGATCACCTGGTGGATTCAAACTGCAGACCTTTTGGTTAGCAGCTGTAGCTCTTAACCACTATACCACCAGGGTTTCCATAGGTAGTGGGAAATTCACATCTTTAATTTGGCCATGAGATTGAAAGAGTCAATGTCATTTAACCCTCTGACTATCATAAGGTCAATTTTGGCTTTAATTCTAGAAAAACTGATGCCACATTTTAGTAGAATTCTGGTTTTGGTTAAAGGATTAAATTTCCTTTAGTTCCCAAATATCTGACCCTATTAACTATGGGAAAAGATTCAACAAAAAGTCTGTTTGCCCTATTAACTCTGGGAAAAGATTCAATACTCTGCTGTTTGCCTGAGAAAGAGAGGACCAACAAATTGCTAGCCCTCCAGGAGCCCCTTTTAATCATCTCTTATTTTGAGGTCATTAAGAAAATCAAGTTTGGAAGTGTACTGAATTCATCTATGTTGAATTCTACAAATATTTTTGAAACACTCTTCCAGGCCCTAGCCCATTGCTGTTGAGTTGATTCCGACTCATAGTGACCCTATAGGACAGGGTAGAGCTGCCCCATAATGATTCCAAGGAGTAGCTGGTGGATTTGAACTCCCAACCTTTTGGTTAGCAGCAGAGCTCTTAACCATTGCACCACTAGGGCTCCTGCCAGGTCCTAGGGATAACAAAACAACTTGAATCTTGACTTCTTAGAGTATCTCTGAGGGACAATGGCATTTAAGCAAATAAATCATCAGAACAATTACAGATTGTTGTAAGTGCTAGGAAGGAAATGGAGAACTGAAATAAAGAATTATGGGGGGTGGGTGGGATGGGATATAACTTTAGATGGGATGGTCAAGGAAGACCTTTCCTTTCGGGAGGGGCGATTTCATCAAGTAGTGTGGTGAGAAATGACGCCAAGGAGAGGGAACATTTAAAAAGCACTTGATGTTTATTCATTCAGTGCACGCTTACTGAGTATCTACTGTGTGTTGGACCCTGTATTAACCAGCATAATACAAAGGACAGATGTAGATAGTGGTAGCTCCTGAGCCATTTAGAAATAATTTAATTATATTTAACATCCTTGAAGCATACTTTGGATTAACTATAATAATTTTGGACTGTTTTAATGTATTTGTTTCTTTATATATTGGTTTCTGGAAGGAGTGTGGATGATCAAGAATTAATTGCACTAAGTGAGCAAATACTCTTTCTCAGCCGTTGCAATGTATGTAGGCCTGTCCAGTGTATGCATTACAGATATGTAAATAGAACTGCTAATATCTTCCCTTTGTATCCTACAGCAACAAAAGAGGTATCAACAGATAAAGAGATCTGCCTTGGTTATTCAGTCTTATATCCGGGGTTGGAAGGTGAGTTTGAAAGAACTGTGCCTTGTTTATTTGGGGTTTTCGGGTCCTTCACAAAGGATGGTATCTTTAGGCTCACCCTGTAGGGGAGGGCTCCTCTGTCTCCTGCCTACCCTGTAAACAGTCAGATGGAAAGAATAAATATTATGGGCTAAGCTGGGGTTCTGGTGACCACATCTTGGCTACTTCCTTCTAACTGGCTTTCTTTTTAAGAGCTTTGTTCTCTAAGCAGGAAGTCCTTGAAATAATACAGTACATTCTTTCAGTATCCTCTTGCAAGGGAAGCTGGAGTCCAGAAGGCTGTCTCACAGCCATTGCCTCTGTACCTGTGAGTTCTGCTAAATCTCAGCACTCCCAGCCTGACGTCTTTCCATAACTTCTTAGCGACTGTCCTGGAGGCCCCATGATTCTGGGCTGTCTCAGTTCTAGAGGGAGTCACAGTGGTTCCAGGTCCTTCCTGAAGCCAAGGGTTTGTTCAGAGGTCAGCAAACTATAGCCCGCAGGCCAAATCCAGCCAGTTGCCTGTTTTTGTACAACCTGCAAGCTAAGAAGGATTTTTACACTTGTAAAACATTGTTTAAAAAAAAAAAAGAATAAAAATATTTTTTGATGCCTGAAAATGACATGAAATTCCTAAGTTTTTATTGGAATACAGCCATGCTCATTTGTTTTACGTATTCCTTATGGCTGCTTTAATGCTACAACAGCAAAGTTGAGTAGCTGCAGCAGAGACAGTATGGTACACAAAGACAAAAATATTTACTGTCTGGCCCTTTGTAGAACAAGTTTGGCAAC